ACGACATGGGACAAAACGATAGGAGACCGGGCGCTGCTGCAGGCGAGATTAAGTGCTCCAGCCCTAGGCGCGAGCTCAGTCAGGTTGGACGCATGTGGATAAGTCGTATACCTGGACTGAAGTTTGTCAACAAGCCCAGTGGTACGTTTCGCTTGGTTTTTGACCCGTCTTTTTATAATATACTGCGAGGCAATTCTTGTCGAAGTAAAGACAGCCGGTCTTGAAACAATTGCAATTGAAGGTTGGTCAGGCTAGGGGGAAGAGATGCTGTTAGTGCGCTTGACTACTTAGCCCGAATACTAGACACTGGTTGACATCTAATCTTACAAAACCGATAATATAGTGCAGGACAAGTGAAGAGCCGCCCATTTCGTGACAAGTACTGCTTGTGCTCAGCACACTACAATAATCAGTCCCAGTCTCAGGTTTCGGAAGAGACCGAGAAAGACATCGATAGAAACATGTATTATATACAAAAACTTAATGCAGGTCGGAAGCCCCAACGCTCGGAAAACTCTGAGCCTGTACAGGCATCTGTCCGCAAGGCTGATGTGAGCGTGAGTGCATAAACGCCATAAGAGAGTTGGACAGTGTCCGCTTTATCAGTTGATTGGGTGATAGTAGTTTTTGGGCGCCTATGATTGGCTGTTCCAGGGGTTGTATGCGTTCCTTGTCCGGCATTTCGAGAATTCTGCTCACATGACCTCTGGTGTGTCGTGGACGCAAGAAGCAGAAAGCGCCTACGCGCTTAGAGCGGGGCCTTTTATTCAACCCAACAGCATCATCATCAAATAAGCGATTATTTTATCCAGTTATATTTCGGAAAATTTTAATTGCTCTGCTTGTTATATGGACCACCACAATGAGCTTTTTTTCTAATTTGTTCGTCTTTTTGCTGCCTTCTTGCCGAACGATAGAGATTAAACCTCCTGGAAGTGACCAGTGACTGGCATGTCCGCAATGCGGTGGAATGCGAACTTTCCGTCCTTGCTTAGCTCACACGGGCGCTCACATGGCGGCCGGCAGTTAGTGCCCAACACAATAGAGACTAGCGTAATCACTTTAAGTTTATCTACCGTCCCAATTTACCAATACCCAAACGATAGGTCCGGAAGATCAACGATTCGTGTCCAGGTCCAGGTTTTTTATTGAGTTTAGTACTCCGCCAATTGGGTGAGGTTTCCACGCTCTGTCGGGCCCCTCGGCGACCTGTCCTGAATTCAGACCAGTTCTCTGCCTGTCACTCCCACGTTACATTGAATATTCAAAAATCCAGGCCTTGGCTTGGTTCTGAGATTGGAGTACCGTTGGATGAGGAGGAAAAGTAAACCGAAGTGGCTCATCCCTTCAAGTTGTTTTAACACGTGCAACTGAATCATACCCTTTCTTCGAGTATAACATGACATTTACTAAAAAATGAATGCAGAACTTCATACTGCTTAGGTTTATATTTCTCCAGGTGTGCTTTTTGCAGACGGTCAGAAAGCAGCGCACTTCAAAGCCGGCCTTCTTATGTGACTGAATTATCTTTGGATTATGCTGCACCAGGACCCGTATTATAGCCCAGCCTAAGTAGTCGTTTGTAATTGAAAGCACCTTTCAGAATTTCACACGTTCTGGTCTCCAAGGTCACTGGAGAGCAGAAGGTGCACCCCCGCCCACCGACAACGAAAAGGGAAGTCGGAATGACCTTTCTGGCTTACTAATCATCTTGCGTAATCTCAGGCTTGCAGGATCGGAGACTCAACCGCCCGTTCCTTGTAACGGGGGCTGTTTCCTTTTCACCGTCTAATTACGCCTGAGTTACACAGTAAGAAGGGCGTAAAAGTGGAAGCTATCCAGTGGGGAGTTTGTTGTGTACAAAACCCAGAATTGCTCTCTTGGGTGGCAGTTGCGTCGCTGGCTAATGTCCAGCGCTGATGTCTGGCCGCGGGAAAAGCCCGGGCCTGCGGTGGACTGGCGGTATCCTTGTCAGTCCGTACTGTCTGAAGTGTGACAGTTGCTTATGAGTAATTGTCAAGCGCGTTCGCTTGTGGCATAATTGGGTGCGTTGGAATAAGGTCACCTGCCACGTGAGGCACCTAAGTGGCCCTT